CCTGTAGCCCCAGATGGCCTGGAATTCACTATGTAGACCAGGTTGGCCTGGATCTCACAGAGATCTACCTGCCTCTGCCTCCTTCTGCTGGGACTATTTTTTGAAACAGAGTCTTCCTGTTGCCCCAAATGGCCTGGAATTCACTATGTAGATCAGGCTGACCTTGAACTCATAGAGATCTGCCTACCTCTGCCTCCTGAGTGCTAGGATTAAAGACTTGCACCACCATACCTGGCTTTCTTTTTACACTTGCCCCATCTTTTTAATTTTTTAAAAAATTTATGTGTATGCGTATTTTGCCTGCATGTGTGTAAGTGCACCCGTGCTGTGCAGTGCCCTCAGAGGTCAGAAGAGAGCCCCATATTGTCCTGGAACTGGAGTTACGGGTAGTTGTTAGCTGCCATGTGGGTGCTGGGAATTGAACCAGGGTCCTCTGCAAAAGCAGCCAGTGCTCTTAGCCACAGAACCATCTCTCCAGCCCCAGGACAGTCTTCTTAAAATACACACATGAAAGTTTGAATATTTCTCAGTTACCTTTGTGCGCCTTCCTCCTCCTCCACGTACGGTACTTTACATCGGCTTGTTTGTTCTTGCAGGGCATGCTGTTGAAGCGAAGTGGCAAGTCACTGAACAAAGAGTGGAAAAAGAAATACGTCACCCTGTGTGACAACGGCCTGCTGACCTACCACCCCAGTTTACATGTGAGTACAGCGCTGTGGGGCAGCTCGCTGCTGGGCACAGGGGAGAGGCCGCGACAAGCCATGGCTGGCCTTCTGCCTCCCTCTGGCGGTTTGGTGGTATCAGGTCCCTTGCTGGGTCCTAAGGCACAGTGCAGTCCCTCATGGCCTCTCAGCCCCATTCCTCCGCCCTCATCCCCTTCATGTTACTCTATGGCTCTCTGGTTCTACAGTGAATTCCAAGGAGAGATACAGATGAAGTGAAGTTTTAAATTAGGGTGGGAAGTTGGACTGAGTAGCAGAAGGAAAAGGGAGTCCGTGAGCTCCAGAACCGAAGGGAGCAGCTCCACAGGAACCCGGGGGAGCCCAGGGACCAGCTCTGAACGGCAGACATGGAAGCCAGGGTTGCCGCCTTCCCAGCCCAGTGTTTGTTGTGAGGTTAGAACAGGTGGGGCTCGTATGGGCTCAGCAATGCTTGTGCGTGAACAGACTACATTGTATTGATGCTTTCTGTGAAGAGACTGAAAACAGAATCCATTTTATTCTTTCAGAAACCTAGTCATTCTGTGCAGTCTGTTTTTTCAAGGAAGGACTGTTCATTTTGGTCTTATGATGGCACAGTTCTTGCAGAGGTCAAGAATTAAAATCTACACCATTAGTCACTGGGCTTTTGTCACTGTATCAAGCTACTGATTTTTTTAATTGAATTGTTTTTTTAAAATGACAATTGCTAAGAAGAGATTAGAAATAAATGTACTGAATGGAAGTAAAAATCACTCCATGTGGCTGTTAGCATTCAGAGCGTGGACTCCTGTCATCCCTGTGTACACAGTCCTGGTGCTTCTGCACACATGAGCACACCCCACAGCCTCTCTCCTCACCTTCTGCGGTCAGCAAATACACAGCACCGTTCTAATGCGTTCTGTGGTATGGATGTGCCGTAGTGACGCAGTGTGTCTCAAAGCACTACAGGAGCAGACATGTAAATTTGACTTTTCTTCCAGGATTGTAAGTAGCTCTACTCAGACTGTCTCTTGACATCACTGTGTCCTTATCTATTTCCATAGGAAATAGTGTCAGTTTGCAGAGCTGAGGGTCCACTCACTATCACTGATTTTGGTTCATGTCATATTCCTAGGAAGTATGTGCAAGTTTCTGTCCTCTAGCCATTGGCAGGAGGCTGTCCCCCTGTGTGCTCAAGAGCACTTACCTGTTTAAAAGTCTTTTCTGGCATGCTCAGTGACACAGTATCTTTGTGTGGTTTGCTGCCTGTGTGACCCTCACTGCACCTTTCCAGAACCAGACCAGATAGCTCCTGCTTCTTTTCCTATCCCCACTAGCCTGTCACTTTCAGTACACCCTCAGGAATGCTGAAGTAGCCAGCACATAATTACAGAAGAGGCCCTGTGTTAGATGTGTTTGTCCTCGTGTAGGCAAATGGGAGTGTTCTGTACAGAGCTCGGACAGGTGCTGCTGAACTAAACGTTGCATAGGATGAGTGACTGAGTGGTGTTCCCACCTTTGGTATTTTCAATAGATAATGAGGTTATTGGTGTATAGCCACATTGAGGGAGGGAGGGAATCTGTATACCAGATACATACGGCAGATATATTCATATATAAAAATAGCCTCTTGTATGTAGATAATCATAGATGTGCTAGTGTGTATGTAGAGGTTCTTTGTTAGATGAGGGTCCCTCTCTGGCAGATCTTCTACTAGTTTGTCCTGGGTACAGGTTCACTCTCGGATGGCCTCCATGGTAGAGGTAGCAGACCTGTTTCTGGAGGCCTGTGTGTGGCCAGGCCACTCCATCTCCAGGACTGCCCTGCTGAGGACTTGGGTTCTGCATCCCATCCACTGCCAGCTTCTATCCCTGAGCACACACAGCAGAGTGAGTGGGCCTTTCCTGGCTGTCCCCACCCACATCCAGGAAGGCTGTCCTGACCCCTTGCTCTTCTTAGACCCTGCCAGAAACCTCACTGTTAATTAGCTCTGGTGCTGAATGCATGAAGTCCTCTTCAGAGAGCACAGCTGGGTGGTGTTGACCACTGTCCAGTGAGATCTGACTGGTCTTTTTCCCACTACTCTGCGCTCCCCTGTGACCCCCCACTCCAGCCTTCTCTGTCACCTTCTCAGGCTCCTGCAGGGCCCCAACAGTGTCTCTGTCATCATGTGGGCTCATGCCTGGACAAGAGGCCCCTGGCAGCTGGGGCCAGAGCTTAGAGCTTCACACATGCTAGACAAGTTCTCTTACCACTGAGCCATACCCCGGCCCTCAGCTAGGGCTTTAAAATGCCCTTGCTGACTGCCCTTAGGATAGACTTTCCAGGTCAGTTTCCCCTCTCCCTAGGTCACCAGGTACAGGTAGGTACCTTCCTACACATGTGTTTACATAAAAGTGTTTACATAAAAGATCATCATTTGGGCCTGAATCCCATTCAGTCCCATGCAGGTGTTGTCCACGTGTTGGGGTAGTGGAAAGCAAACCCAGTCTCTGAACAGCGCATGTGGGACCCCAGTACCTTCCTGATCCTGGGGTATCCTAGTGGATCACATGCTCTTTGAAGCCATGGCTGCAGGAACAAGCCATGATCTAGGGGCATGTGGAGGTGTGGCACCCAGTGGGGTTGGCGTGAGGCTGAAAAGTCCCTGGTGCTTGTTCCCACAGTTGGCCCACCTCCTAGAGCCTGGGCAGGCTTTCAAGGTAGCAGGTCATAAGCGGGAGACCCCGGGAGATAGGGCAAGAGGTAACCCAGTGTCTTTCCACTTCCCAAGCCTTTGGTGTGCCCGCTGCTCTGGTGAATCCCTCCAAAGCCCCGTTCTGGGTGCTAAGCTCAGCTCTACATCATGCAAGAGCCCAGCAATCCTGGGGCCCCTTGGCCAGCACCGTTTCTCTGTCCTGTATTTAATCCAGACTACACCATATCAGCTCTGTCCCCATGTGGAAGATACGAGCGGAAACTGCTCGGTTTCCTGGTTCCTGTTGTGGAACCCTTTGGTGTCTCCAGAACACCAACCGACGTATTGGTTTACTTAGCTGCAGCCCTGCCCTGCCCCTCTGCCATGTTTCTAGCCTTTCCCCTCTCTGCTGGCAAGGCTTAGGAGCTGGCCTGGCCACCTCAGGGTGGTGCAGGCCCTGGTCCTCCTTGCTTTGTATGTGGAGAGGAGAGGCAGAGGCTCAAGAGAAAGATATGAGGGTGAAATTTTAATCTAGATTCCCTAGAAATGGTTCCCACATTGGGTGGCCACCATAGTCATAAGGCCCTGTGGGGACTCAGGATGGCAGGGACAGCGGCCAAAGTGGGAACACTTCCTATAACAGCACGTGTTCCACAGCTGGTTGGTGCGGGTGTGCACTGTGGTGTGCAGATGCTACCCTGGCCACATTTATTCTCCATCCTACCCTTGACTCTGGCTAGCAGATATCTTCTTTAGAAATCTGGAAAGAATTCATTCTCCAGGTAGGAAGTTTGGTGGACTCCTGGGGGTGGGACCCAAAAATTTCCACCCAGACAGAACAGGCTGAAAATCTAATGGAGGGATGCCTGAGGAGTTGCCCTGAGACTACAGCTGCCAAGTGGGATTAAAACTGGAGCTAAGAAGCATCATTCAGCCTCTCTTTGTCCCTCGGGGTGCTGTTACTAAGTCCATCAAACTGAGACCCAGGTTAGAAAACAGGTGTAATGCCAAACCAGTTAGAATGACTGCTGTTCAGGGAGGCTGGCTGCCTAGTTCAGCTGGTACTCAGAGAGTTCTGGCCAAAGGACTTGCTGTGGTCCAACTCCAGAGTCACAGTCATTCAGTGACAGTTTGCTGCCCCTGCTCCAGGACTGACCAGTAGAATTCACTCCTTTATGTGTGATTAAAAATTTACACCAGCAGCCCTAGGCATCTAAGCACAACTAAAGTAACAGGAAGAAAGCCTGCTGGCTCCATGGCCTCCTAGCTCCGTGGTCTGCTTGGCTCCATGGCCTCCTGGCTCCGTGGTCTGCTTGGCTCCATGGCCTCCTGGCTCCGTGGTCTGCTTGGCTCCATGGCCTCCTGGCGCTGGGCTCCTGGTTCAGTGGCCTCCTGGCTCTGTGGCATGCTCTTTTGTAGTCTGCATTTCTGTTTCTGAAAAAAAAAAAAAAAAAATCACTCATCTCCAAGACCTTCAAAGCTCAAAGCTAGCGGCTGTCCTAGAGGCAGTGCCTATGAGTACTCATGGATTTAAAGCTCATTGCTGGATCGTGGTTGGGGTGGGCACAGGCGTCTCATTTGGAGATCCTTAGGTTCCCTGTCTGTGGACTTAAATATGAGCCGTAGGGAGCACCATGGTGGAAAAATGGAGGGGTAATGAGAAAGAACTTGAACCCTGGGGCTCTGCCACTCAGCATGGCCACCAATTCATCTTCCATGGGGGGAGCGGGGGGGGGGGAAACAGCCATGTGCTTGGTTGACAGTCCTGCCCTCAGAGTTGGCGATGTAAGTGGGCTATAAGAATGATCTTGCTGGCCAAGGACATCGTGTTACAGTGTCCCATTCGAAGAAGCTCATGCATTCAAGCCAGCCTCCAACCCTCCTTGCAGGGGGCCCTGGTGGCTGCACACCTCCCTTCCCTGAGCACACACCTGCCTAGTGGGTATGCATTGCTCTCTTTAATGGTCTCCTCTGATTCCTGTCTCATTCTTCCTGACGGCTGTTGAAACCAGCTCGGCCCTGCTCTTTTACCTCATACACAGAACTAGAACTGGCCTCTGGAAAGGACATACCTTTCTCCACAGCCCAAAGAAATTCAGTGACCGAGATTCTGGTTATAGTGTAAGAGTCGTTGGGGCCAAGGAGCTTCGGTTTGGTACCCTTCTGCACATCGACACCAGAATGCAGATTTTAATAGCTTCCAATTTCACAGTCAGACAGGAAGGGACTTTTTTACTGATGTAACATCACCAAGGATCTGAGATTAGTTCCTAAGCAGATCTTCTCACATCTTTGCAAAGAAAGGTCCTGCATTGTAAGAGTGCTCCTCACAGCACCCCTCACA